GTCTTCAGAAAGAAGAAGTTGAACCAAGTACCCCAGGTCGAGATCCTGTTGTTGGCAAGGTCTACATTCATCGCGTCACGTCGGAGTGCAAACTAGACCCAAAACCGATACAAGTGAGTACCTTCATATGATAAGTTACAAGGAAGCTATGTAGTAATACAAGACGCCAATCGATATTAGTTATAACCAAGATGAGAACAACATAAAACATCTTTTTGATTGTCAATCAGCTAAAAAGTAAAAAAGCGTTCAATTTAAAAGCGAAATATCAAAACATCAATTGCTGTTTTTTATTCTTTTTCCACAATACGATCAAGATAATGAGCTAGAAGAATAATGTGGACAATCTTACACATAAGACTATATAAGATAGAGAATCAATAACGAATAAACAAGCACTAGACTCATTATCTTGTAAAAACGAAGAAAAAATCAATTCTATGTTGGAACCCCTTCATAAATTTTCTGAAACAAAAGGTCATAGCAAAATTCGAACTCTCATTTTAAATGATCATATGCTAAACAAATTACACTCTAAGTGAGAGCATCAGCTGATCATTGGGTGATTGGGTTGTTAAAGCTTTTATCAAGTAAAATTGGATAGACTCAGCACTGGTCTAAAGTCGGGTAAATGAAAATTAGAAGGCAACAGCAATTTTAATATCGCATTTAACAATACTAGTGAAGAACCAAACTAATTCTTGCTGAACATAATACTGAGTTGGATCACATAGGTGTGATCCAAGTGTGGAATATCTAAGTCCAGGTAAGTATAAGTGAAAACGATGTTCAAAGGACTATAATCTATTCTACACAGCAGTGGACAAGATGGAACAGATAGGAATGAAGTCAGTGGAACAGAAGAGCGATGTCTGCTTAACTGGATTGGTGATAATTGTGAAGGATTTCCGAGGTCATTTTGCTTTCGAGTGGACCTTGGGGAGGCCCGGATGAATAGAAAATCACAAACTTTACCGTTGAAAAGCGTGAAGGCGGAAAACAGAAGCATTGACCACAATATCGAATGAAATATTGAATGGTCATTGTAAGTGATACAGAAAGCTCGGCTCTTAGGAATTCTTCCATTTACAAACGCGTCATTCATGATTATAGTGTGGAAGCTGGTTGGCATGTCATTTCACATGGGGGGCAGTTTAAACTAAAAATTTCTCGTAATTAGATTTTTTGAATTAATAAGATTTAAAATCAAAGTCAAAGATTTATTATGGGCGATTTAACAAAGCTAATGCTTATCATGCCCCATAGGAGTTCTATAAAATCTTTTGAATAACTTCACAAATAGAAAATGACAATGATAATAATGTGCATGATCACTCACAGATGTTGAAATTTTAAGTGTTCCAATGCTTTATCAAGTTGCGATTTAAATGCTTCAACTGTGGGAGCCCACACTTCATCATATGGAAGAGAATTCTATACGCCGCACACTCTGCCTGCAAACGAGTGATGCCGGTAATCAAGGTGTCTTTTCTGGGTCTTCACCTTTAGTGGATGTCCCCTGAGGTGATCATTATGAGATAAAGTCAGCATAAAATGGAAAAGATGGTTGGGTTGATGCAGTATGTGATATGCTAATATTAGGTTCCCCCGAAGTCGGCGATATTGAGATGAGTAGAGTGCCCATATTTGCATCGTTTCGGAGTATGTCTTTTTATACAAACCTTTCACCAATTTTGTTGCCAGCCTTTGCTGACAGCATGCGGGGCACAGTGATCGTTTATTTTCAGAAAAGTTGTTGGATTCTACCCGAAAGAAATCACCGGTTTTTATTCCGGTTTGCACAATACAGAGAAATGAAGCTTGATTGTTGATATCACTCAGAGAATGACAATTGATAATTGAGCAACAATCTCGGATTAGTGTGCATCTAACCCCAGCGAATCTGGGCTTTCATGTAGGTCAGATTGTTTACTGAGAAGTAAACCATCCTAATAATTTATTTATTCATTTAATTCATTCATCCGTCCATTCATTTTAAAAAGCTAACGAGGAAGCCAATGTTTGTGAGATATCTCTTTTCTCGCCCTCCCACCCCCAGCCGCTCACTAAATGTCGACTGCATCCAGCACGACATTGGAAGCACATAAATGTCCTTGTTTGTTTTTCACTAGTTCTTGTGAACTACAAAACACAAATTGTTAGCACCTAAAACGTGGAATTTTGTCATATCCGTTTTTACCCGGGGTTCTACTTGAATAGGTAACTCTTGTTTACATGCGACCGCGTGCACACGCACAAACACACACAGAGAGACGGCTGCGGTGAAACACAGTGAACACTAACTTCGAACCGATGTCATTGTGAGTGCCGACGATGAATCTTGTCACTGGAAAGAAGAATAATACACAGTGATGAATCGCTGACCGGAATCGAAACGTGGGCAGTTCCAGGCTGACCACATGCGTTATAGACTGATAAGGTTACGTGATATCGAGAATATTACATTCGTTAACAAAAAATCCCTCAGAAAATCGAATAGTGGATTGATTCTATTGATTTATGAAAAAAATGAAATGACGTCGAATGCTTTCTAGAAATCTGCATACTTGAAGGGAAATAAATGTCATGATCTGGTCATATGGGTATGAAAATTTGGATAAAAAGAAAAGTATGTAGAAATGTTGGAAACCTGAGTTACGACGGGGACAGGGAACAGGGCACTATAGGATGGATCCCGGGTCTACAATTTATTGATTTCTCTGTGTGAAAAGAAAGAGTCTGCGTATGCAGTTGTGCAGTTCATTCTGAGAATCAAATTTACATTTTCCCATGGACCGTTGCATTCCTGTGTTGAGCACGTTGCTTTGGTTCACAAAATTCTTCTTTCGGAAATTGTGCAAAATGTTTGGATAGCGATGTCCTGCATTTTTGAACTACGTTTTAGGTGAACAGTATACTACATATAATGAATAGCGGTGACATGTGTGGAATCCGTGTTTGAACCACAAACTGTTCTTGGAAGGAACACTCAGTAAGACGCCGTCGTTGAAATTCGGTAATGTGGAAAGATACTGTGCAACACAGGCATTTTGTATTGCAACTAATAGAGAACTGACGTGTGTGAAGGCGACAAAAATCAATTTATGTGGTGGCAGGGATATTGATAGGATAATGTGACTGATATCATGAAAAATAGGTCGGGTGAGTAGGCAGTTTTGTGGGCTAAGTGGACAAGGTTGGACAGTCCATAGGGTGCACAGATAAACATTGTTGGAATAGCACGCCCTAGTGAAACTTTACCTATTGTCGCTAATCCAGACAACAGGGAAACGTGTAGACGACTTCTTACTCCCAGCTGTCTTGACAACTCAAAATGAAGGAAATAATTGCATACTAGTATGATGGTGCACGCTATATGACACAGAAAACAGTGTTCCATTTTGTAGATGTATTTCTGATCTTTCTGATCATCGGTGCTTTCTGTAGCCGGATTAATTTTGAGATCAAATAAACTATGCTGTGTTTGAAGAATAAAAATTGGTCAGCTGTTTGTTTTTCACGTGCAGGGATCTAGTGAGTAATGTAGGTAACTCAGATACGCTTCCAGACCCAGTGAAATTTGTTCTCATGTTAAGGTTCATCTGAACGGTATTTGTGCATCAGCGTTGTCCGTTTCTGTAATTCTCTGGGGTCCCATTACCCGACACGGGTTGAGGTTTGCGGAAAGATGGTTGAAGAAAAATACCGATTAATGATTTCTCCAATTGGTTTTCAACAAAGACGAATAGCATTACATTATTCAACTCACATCTGTTTAACTAGGTGATCATTCGGAAATTTCCTGATTACGAAAAATAAATCATAGTACATAAACATTTTTGTAACATAGAAGCGCGTTCCACCGTGTGCAGAAAATTTATCCATCTAAGCAGCATATTCTTATTTGAAACTAAAAGCTTATATAAATTGATCAATGTTATTTGGTCTTATCATTAGGAATATTTTATTGTTGAATGTGGATTTCAACACTGAGTCACTTTATTACACCTGCTTGAGACTGCACGATAGTCGGCATCAAGAAAATTTGAACGGGAATAAATTACTTCAATCATTTCGTTGAACATGTTTGAGAAATAGTTCCGTGTTATTCGCAAGACATGCTGTGACTTGTGCCGTACACCGTGCACCACATACCAATGCCTAAACAAAGCGGACTAGATAGTTGATGAGCAGTGCACATCAACTTGAACGGAGACATTGAAAAGCCAGTCGTCGGACATCCTGTTTTCTCAGTCTCTGTCCATCCGTCCGCCCGTCCGTCTGACACTCGGGAACTTGCACTGACTCATTCATTCACCGGCGGTCCGTGGCTATTTATTTTCATACCTAACGACTATCCTTACTACCTATCTACCTAACTCGCTATCAAAATAGATGTGTAGGTAGCAGGCGTCTGCGTATATCCGTGGTACTGGTTGCCATTTCCTAGTCGTTTGTTCATACAGCTTATCGCATAGTCTTTCAATTGGTGTGTGAAATCCTTTTCAGCGATATATACATACAGTGTGCACGCTCGCACGCAAATACGGTCGCACAATGCACACAAATCTAACGTTCACAGACACACAGACAAGCACAATCAATGAAGTGAATACATACGACGAATAATGAAGGACATCCAAATGTACATTGTACGATTGTTTACATTCGTAGAGTATTTCATGCGACAACCACAGGTGTCCAGGTCCGAAGTCATTAAAGAGTTTAATTAGTGGCCTTGTTTGCATATGTTCCCATTCAAAACGGACAAAAAAGAGAACTGTACCATGCTTTTATGAAATGCCAGAGCTCCAGATGAGCATATTTACTTTACATGTTCAGTTTGTACAACCACTTACAATTCACCTTCGTACGCCGATTTTAGTGGCTGCCCCTTTGGATGTAGGAGTAGGTGAAAGACAGAAATGTTAAAAGTACAGTCGAGTAACAGAGAATTTCAGTAGACTAAGCTTGCAAGGAAAGTCAAGATGCACGAGTGCCACTGTTTAAGACGCTCAGTTATATCACTCAGTGTCTCTAACCACCAATTACGCTCACCTCGAGGTTCCCAGCACGGGAGCCCAAGGGGACCTATGTGGCCAAGTCTCCTGGT